TGATAATGATGATGATGATGATGATGATGATGATGATGATGATGATGATGATGATGATGATGATGATGATGATGATGATGATGATGATGATGATGATGGTGATGGTGGTGATGATGATGATGATGATGATGATGATGATGATGATGATGATGATGATGATGATGATGATGATGGATGATGATGTGATGATGATGTGATGATGTGATGATGATGATGATGATGATGATGATGATGATGATGATGATGATGATGATGATGATGATGATGATGATGATGATGATGATGATGATGATGATGATGATGATGATGATGCTGGTGGTGATGGTGATGATGATGATGATGATGATGATGATGATGATGATGATGATGATGATGATGATGATGATGATGATGATGATGATGATGATGATGATGATGATGATGATGATGATGATGATGATGATGATGATGATGATGATGATGACCACTGGTATGAGTTACTTGCTATCTTTCCCGGTATAGAGTATTGCTTGGACCAATATGGCGTGTTGTATGAGTTTCACAAGAGTCCAGAAGGTTCTGGTAGTGTGGTCAAATAATTACGAAGAATATATTTATTCAGCATCAAGTTAGTTTAAACTGAAATAAATACATGAATAATTTACCCCTCTGGTAGTCTTGGAATGGAACATAATGTTCCTTTGCTATTGTTCATGTTTTCAATGACTACAATTTAGTGTCTTGTTCTCGAACAGTAATTGAAATCCTTGCCCCAATACATAGAACTGTGGCAGATACTCAATACAGGTGGTGTCGAATTGTCAGCGTGTTGTCATATTTGTCACCCCCGTGTCTCACCCGATACACGTACACCCAGTAGAAACAACGGACAAACACGTCAAAGTCGGCACAGAAAATGTCGGTGATGCTGCTAAAATATCTGCGTTACTCAGCCAACACGTTACTGACCCACCACGGACGTCATTAAAGGCACTTTATATAGGAGCACTCGCCTATCAAACTGGTGTGAAATTAGCCCATTTATCGCGGGTTACCCCACTGATTGGCACCAGAGTGAAGGGTAACGAGGGGCAGGTCACAACTCTCAGACAAAACATGTCTAAAGACATCAGTGGGTAGTTCCAGACAATCAATATTGCATCAATAACAGAAATCATACATTAATTTAGTACAACAAAACGTTTTACTTTCCACGTAAACGTTCAAATACCAAGCGATGATGATTTGACGTTACACGTATTCTGGCGAGACTGACGTACTATATATATATATACGACACGCACATGCATAGCACATGAATATATATATATATACCGAGTTCATGTGCTATGCATGCTCGTGTCAACACCCGTGGTGTGGGTTGTCTGTCTTTTGTGGGTTATCCGTCTTGTGTGGGTGCTTCGTGCACTTCGTCAGAAGAGTCAGGTCCCCGAATTTGTTTTCAACCGTAGCAGTAGTTTCAGGTCCCAGTGGTTGTGTTCACCTGTAGCGGTAGTTTCAGGTCCCAGTGGTTGTGTTCACCTGTAGCGGTAGTTTCAGGTCCCAGTGGTTGTGTTCACCTGTAGCGGTAGTTTCAGGTCCCAGTGGTTGTGTTCACCTGTAGCGGTAGTTTCAGGTCCCAGTGGTTGTGTTCACCTGTAGCGGTAGTTTCAGGTCCCAGTGGTTGTGTTCACCTGTAGCGGTAGTTTCAGGTCCCAGTGGTTGTGTTCACCTGTAGCGGTAGTTTCAGGTCCCAGTGGTTGTGTTCACCTGTAGCGGTAGTTTCAGGTCCCAGTGGTTGTGTTCACCTGTAGCGGTAGTTTCCCCAGTAGTTGTGTTCACCTTTCAGGTCCCAGTGGTTGTGTTCACCTGTAGCAGTAGTTTCAGGTCCCAGTGGTTGTGTTCACCTGTAGCGGTAGTTTCAGGTCCCAGTGGTTGTGTTCACCTGTAGCGGTAGTTTCAGGTCCCAGTGGTTGTGTTCACCCAATACGGGATCATCGTGCCCCAACACTGGATCATTGTACCCCCGGTAGCCCGACGCTATATCATCGTATCCCGACGCTGGATCATTGAACCCCGACACTGGATCATCGTACCCCAACGCTGGATCATAGTACCCCTGTACCTGGACACTGGATCATCGTATCCCGACGCTAGATCATCGTACCCCGACACTGGATCATCGTAGCCCGACACTGGATCATCGTGCCCCAACACTGGATCATCGTAACCCGACACTGGATCATCGTACCCCGACACTGTCCACACAAGCCACCTGCTGCCAGATACCGAAGACCAAGTAGCTCCGCACACACACCGGGCAGTGCAGAATACATATTAAAGCTGTCGCCCAACAGGAGAAGCGGCTTTGTTTCTTCACATGGGTGCAATGTATGAGGTCATTTCGGGTACAATGTGTGAGGTCATTTCGGGTACAATGTGTGAGGTCATTTCTTCTGTTTCTTGTTGCCAATTTGCTGTAATGTTGCTCAAGGCGGCGAACAACCGTCCTCACTCACACACTCTCAGGTCCAAGCCAAATGAGTAAAATCGGAATACTTGACATGGATGTTCTGTTGTACGTGATACACAGACGCTCAGTACAGTTGAGCCAGGAAGCGCACTTGCTACCGATTTTGACGCAATACTGTTTTGAAGTTTTACATAAATAATTTTCTACATCAACATTTTGAGAAAAACTTATATGTGTTTGTCCATGGGGAATGTACATACCTCTAAGATAGTGGTATGTATTGGTATGCTTGCTTTCTTCATTCCTTTGTCCTGTAAAATAGCCATTAGGCTTTGCGTACAGTCAATTGTATTAATGCATTATCTATAACGTGACTTTGCCTTTTGGGGCGTTTTTGTGTCTGGTGAGTATTTGAGTATGCACCGTCTGTTACGCCTCGAGCTTTTGACAAAGGAAGTGATGTATGGCATTTCAGTCCCCGTAACGTAATTAATAACGCTTTAGCACCACTTTCTCCTGCACAACGACCGTCAACCCCCGCAACCCTTTGCGATGAGCTGTTATTTCATCAGCATCCGTGATTGAAGGCGGGCAAAAATAACTCGTGTTCAGAAAAAAACTGTCTGTTAAAAAGACGAATCGTAAAAACGCTATATGAGTTTCCGGAAAGCTCTCATCACCGACTGTGCTAAGATCAGTTGTCTGAGATGGAGTCAATTACTGTGTTCGTCGTATCGTCGTGGCTTGAGCCGAACGTTATCACTAACGATGCTCGACTCCATTGACGTTGAATGCTCCCCTCATTTACGTAATTGGCAAAAAACTGTCTGTGATCTACACGGGACTTACTGAAATACTCGCGACAAAAGACACAAATCGATCAGGGTGGTTGCGACAGTTACATAAATTCTCTGCCCAATCCATTTTCTGATGTGTATATCGAGATTTGCTGTAACCCGGAGCGCTGCCAGGAGTCTGGAAGCAGTGGAGATAAGCAGGACAAGGGATCGCGCCTTGTGTAGCGCGGTGACCGGAGTGTATCGCTCATCACTCATTCTCTCCAGATTTACAGTCATCATGTAGATGCAATTATCCCTGCGAACAACACACTGGCGCTGGATTCGGATGTTCTTGAAAAAGGCGTTTACTTGCACTTTACCTCGCATTGAACGTGTTCATGAAGTCTAATAAAGTAGAAATGTACTAGTGTACGAGCAAAACTTGTAGAGGTGCGAGTGATGTATTAGTTTGTGCATTAGAACATTGCGGACCCGGATCGAGTTAGATTTAGGTTGACTGAATGCTACCTTACCTCTTCTAGCAACATTCCAGCAATAGCACAGCGACAACAGAAGCTGGCTTTACACCTTGTACCCATGGGGGGAATCGAACCCGTGGTACCATTACTGACTGACAGTGATTCATAAACACACGTTATGTTATGTTTGGTATCGTACAATAGACTATGCTCTTAGCAGAGATTTCGTATGAAAACGGTTATGTCGCATTTTCAAAGTGTAATGAAGGTCGATCAATTTCAAAGTTATTGATTATTGCGAGACTGATGCGTATTAAGTGACGGCTGCAGCCATGGAGTATATCTCAGGTAGAGCGACTACTGTCGGCAATATATAGAGTTACATCCACAAACAGCTGATAATCTGTGGATGTGAGAGTTTTCAACACTCACTCAAATATTTACATTTGGATCAGACACCACATGTGAAACCCACCGCTGGGGTACGAAACAACGCCACGTCAGACAGATCTGTACTTCACGCTGTTTCCCTCCGCGTGTACACACTTATTTCAGTAACTGTGTGAATTAATCGTGCCCATCAGGACAAGCTGTGTGCCCGGGTGCAAATCTACATGGGATCAGAGGCTATTTTGAGCACGTGAAATGCCCTTCCAGTGGGCTTCTGGAATATCCACCCATTGCTGGATGACGCTTTCAAATATTTCCGCTGGATAATCGTTTTTTGTTTCAGTGTGCATTAACGGAAAGCCCAGCCTTCTACATACTTCACATACTGACTTGAGTATGTATCAGGTGATTACACTTGGGTACCGTTTGCACAGACTCTCGTTCAATTTACAAAGCCCGGTGACCTTTCATATTAACACAGTGTACATTTTCATAACATCGGATCTTGGTATTTCAAGTCTCATCGAGAGGCGCTTTCACATGATGATTTAAACAAATATATAACTATGTGCAACGGCCCTCTCTCTCCTTGAAGAGGCCTCTTGCTGCCAGCCCGGAGATACACTGGGACCCTCACAGACGGAGCTTCCAGTCATACCTGTGTCGTCAGTCAAGACACCCGTGTCACCCGCTAATACCTCCAACCATATGGGCGACCGTTTTCAGTCAAACACCCCGTTAGTATCGTAGCGTTTCCCACCCTTACCCTCCACTTTTCTTCAATAATCTCAGTGACATGGAGTTTCCTGTTCAGTAGTTTATATCCGCCACATCACTGCCTTCGCATCTGTAAATATGGCTTGAGCTTCAATTTGCCACGGGCCAGGCTGGAAATCCCTGTAAAAATTTGTTGGATTTAATTTCCCGGTCGCGTGTGAGTGCGAGAAGTAGCTCCGTATAACGATACAGTATGTATAGCGGAGATATACCGACTCTCCTCGTCTACAATCCCACAATATAGCGGGTTACGTCTCCTGCTCGTCAGAGACCTCAGTCGGGGGCACATCGAGGACAAGGCGATTGTTCCGAGAGGGCTGACTGTAAGTAGTGGCTGTGAACGGCGGCTCGAGAGAAGCTCTATCTGCCGGCTCGCGAGCTCGTAGCGCGACTCTGCACGGTTGTATCTCACTGGAAAAGCAGAAGAGTGAAATCATTCAAGTGAATGTCCCTAAGCGATTGCGCTGTGGGGTTAGCACTGTGGATTACCAGTCGTCCGGCGCTATGATTGTGTGTCGACGATACCAGTGGCTTTAGGATAACGTAGTTCCACGGCATACGGATACATAGGGATCTGCTTACCTATGATTGCCAGCTAGCATCTTTGGAGACTTATAGAGCCACGAGCTCTCCTACAGGTGATTGAGAGATCAAAGGAGCCGATTTCAAGATGGATAAATCAAGGTAAATGATTATTGTGATAAGTTGATATGTGATCACTCGACTGTGTTACTTATATGCGATTTCTTTTTTCAGCAAGCTAGCAGCTCATGAGAAAAGCGACGCCAGGATTGTATAGGGAAGTTAATGCACGGCATTTGAAAATCATTTATAGGTACTTGTAAGGCGTAGGTTTATTGCTTCGCGTGGCCTGTATCAAATAAGTAGAGCCACAAAAGAAATTTATTCTTGCGTTTGCTTTTATGTCACTGCCTCTTCAGTTTCATTAATATCAGCGAACAACTGCATGTCCCTCTAACCAGAAACCAGAATATAGGAAATGTTACATATTAGAACTTTTAGGATGTTGGGTATATTTTCTCGACAAAGTATTGCCATTAATTTAAACAGTCATACATGAGAAATGCTCCATGACCTTTGTCTGTTCAAACATTCCCGGGAAATGCCAACTTCATAATCTCATAACCCCTCCGAGATGGTTGACGACCAAGGAACCAATTGTTGCCGAACAGCTTCGAGGACCGACAGATTCGTGACAAGAACCGAGGAACAAATTCTTACGTGAAACAATGGGCGAATGCATCTCTTTGGCAGTCAGCAAGTCTTCGTGAATGAAATTATGCAAAACCTGGGTCAAATTGAATGATAAGTTTCTCTGATCGGAAATACAACAATTAAGTGAAAATCCTTTGGGTCGGGTAGTTTTGCAAGTGTTCCTGAATTCTACGTGTTATGTGACCTGACGTAGTGCTGAGACCCTAGCAGGAGGAAATTGAGCATGGATGTTCCAGTGTGTAACTGAAGATCTGTCCTCATATGTCAGCACATCTGTCACAGTTCCTATGCAGCGATATATAGCACCTCATTGTTTTACCATCACGAGGTTACATAAGCTTCCGTGTACAGACCACTCATGACGGACATCCTTATCAATGCATTGGGTGTGGAAGAAAAGAACTTGCTTTACTTTTTAAGGCTTCTTAGTCTCAGAGCTAAGTTTCGGCAGAGTAGGACAGGCACATTTGACTAGTCCCACGTTTATTAAAGTCGATTCAGACTTGAAAACGTAGCACGTAAGGATTGTGAATCACGCACTGAGAGGCACTGAAGGACGCTGAATATCAAAGTGTTCAGTGAAGGCACGACTCCGACTAGATTGGCTTCTCGAAAGATTATGCTTATTGTGCAACCACTATTCCAAACATTTTTAGCCTGTGCATAGCTGTGGGGTAAATACTGAATATGTAATTTGATTCCTTCGCCTCTGTGAAAAACAGCCGTCATCAAAGCCCGTTGCTCAATGTTTTGCGAGGCCCTCGTTCCCCGTTGTGCGACAATGTTGAGTGTAGTGACAGTTGTACACGGAGATTAGCCCAAACCACACTGTTTGTTCATGTACATGAACCGGATTTCTGCATTAAACATAAGCACGAGAATTTATTGAACTGTGAACGTGTTGTTCTCAGCATAACCTTCTTCACAAACAGCAGTCTTGTTGAAAACAAACATCGGTCTCTACATGTTGTTTTTGGGTAGACAGTACATGTGGTTATTATAGTTCACTATTAAAACTAAGCAGTGAAGCAGTTCCTATATCTGTACGCTTCGTTAACTGTACTCTATTGCATTCATTGTACATGTTTCAACTTACACTTGTACATGGTATTGTAAACGTTGCAGTTGCTGTACACGGTTGTAGTTGTAGTAGCTACAACGACGTCTTCTCAGTACTTGTGATCTTGTTACAACCTTCAGTGAGTTGTCACTAGATTCGGAAAACCTGTAGAGAACTCTTGAAATTCAGACCGGCAATAATCGATAGTGTTTTCAGTTGCATATAACAGGCAGTATTGAACATAGAGAGCATGGCTCCTGCTGCCTCGCACAGATAAAGAGTAAAACGTCAAATAGAAGTGGAATCTCGCCAGTGATCACGTGATGACGGGAAGTTCATTCACTCGTGGGTTAGGTTCACTCACCACGCAGACTGTAGCAAGGCATCCCTGGGATGTCATCACGACAATAGGAATAACGTTTGATAAAGGTATTCTTCTTAATCCACAACATACCAAACCCACTTCTTACATATCAGTACATCTAGTTGAGCTGTACAATTCCTGCTGGGCCCTTTACAGTAACCGTAAAGAGAGATCAACATCGTAGGTATAGTAACCGTAAAGAGAGATCAACATCGTAGGTATAGTAACCGTAAAGAGAGATCAACATTGTAGGTATAGTAACCGTTAAGAGAGTAACCGTCAACATCGTAGGTATAGTAACAACATCGTTAACAGAGGTCAACATCGTAGGTATAGTAACCGTTAACAGAGGTCAACATCGTAGGGATAGTAACAGTTAAGAGAGGTCAACATCGTAGGTATAGTAACCGTTAAGAGAGGTCAACATCGTAGATATAGTAACCGTTAACAGAGGTCAACATCGTAGGTATAGTAACCGTTAAGAGAGGTAAACATCGTAGATATAGTAACCGTTAAGAGAGATAAACATCGTAGGTATAGTAACCGTTAACAGAGGTCAACATCGTAGGTATAGTAACCGTTAACAGAGGTCAACATCGTAGGTATAGTAACCGTTAACAGAGATAGTCAACATCGTAGATATAGTAACCGTAAAGAGAGATCAACATCGTAGATATAGTAACCATAACTAGATAAACATCGTAGGTATAGTAACCGTTAAGAGAGTTCAACATCGTAGATATAGTAACCGTAAAAAGAGATCAACATCGTAGATATAGTAACCGTAAAGAGAGATCAACATCGTAGGTATAGTAACCGTATAAGAGAGATCAACATCGTAGATATAGTAACCGTTAAGAGAGATCAACATCGTAGGTATAGTAACCGTTAAGAGAGATCAACATCGTAGATATAGTAACCGTTAAGAGAGATCAACATCGTAGATATAGTAACCGTAAAGAGAGATCAACATCGTAGGTATAGTAACCGTAAAGAGAGATCAACATCGTAGATCAAAGTAACATCGAGAGATAAACATCGTATATAGTAACCGTAGATAAGAGAGATCAACATCGTAGGTATAGTAACCGTAAAGAGAGATAAACATCGTAAGAACCGTAGGTAAGAGAAAGAGAGATCAACATCGTAGGTATAGTAACCGTAAAGAGAGATCAACATCGTAGGTATAGTAACCGTAAAGAGATCAACATCGTAGATATAGTAACCGTAAAGAGAGATCAACATCGTAGATATAGTAACCGTAGAATAGTAGAGATCAACATCGTAGGTATAGTAACCGTAAAAGAGATCAACATCGTAGATATAGTAACCGTAAAGAGAGATCAACATCGTAGATATAGTAACCGTAAAGAGAGATCAACATCGTAGGTATAGTAACCGTAAAGAGAAAGAGAGATCAACATCGTAGATATAGTAACCGTAAAGAGAACATCGATCAACATCGTAGGTATAGTAAGATAGTAACCGTCAAAGAGATCCGTAAAGAGAGATCAACATCGTAGGTATAGTAACCGTTAAGAGAGATCAACATCGTAGGTATAGTAACCGTGAGAAGAGATCAACATCGTAGGTATAGTAACCGTAAAGAGATGATCAACATCGTAGGTATAGTAACCGTAAAGAGATAAACATCGAGGTATCAACAAAGAGAGATCGTAGATATAGTATCGTAGATATAGTAACCGTTAAAGAGATCAACATCGTAGGTATAGTAACCGTAAGAGAGAGATCAACATCGTAGGTATAGTAACCGTAAAGAGAGATCAACATCGTAGATATATAGTAACCGTAAAGAGAGATCAACATCGTAGATATAGTAACCGTAAAGAGAGATCAAAGAGATCATCGTAGGTATAGTAACCGTAAAAGAGAGATCAACATCGTAGGTATAGTAACCGTAAAGAGAAAGAGATCAACATCGTAGATATAGTAACCGTAAAGAGAGATCAACATCGTAGGTATAGTAACCGTAAAGAGATCGTAGGTATAGTAACAACATCGTAGATATAGTAACCGTAAAGAGAGATCAACATCGTAGATATAGTAACCGTAAAGAGAGATCAACATCGTAGATATAGTAACCGTAAAGAGAGATCAACATCGTAGATATAGTAACCGTTAAGAGAGATCAACATCGTAGATATAGTAACCGTAAAGAGAGATCAACATCGTAGATATAGTAACCGTAAAGAGACATCAACATCGTAGGTATAGTAACCGTAAAGAGAGATCAACATCGTAGGTATAGTAACCGTAAAGAGAGATCAACATCGTAGATATAGTAACCGTAAAAAGAGATCAACATCGTAGGTATAGTAACCGTAAAGAGAGATCAACATCGTAGATATAGTAACCGTAAAGAGAGATCAACATCGTAGGTATAGTAACCGTAAAGAGAGATCAACATCGTAGATATAGTAACCGTAAAGAGAGATCAACATCGTAGATATAGTAACCGTAAAGAGAGATCAACATCGTAGGTATAGTAACCGTAAAGAGAGATCAACAGCGTAGGTATAGTAACCGTTAAGAGAGATCAACATCGTAGGTATAGTAACCGTTAAGAGAGATCAACATCGTAGGTATAGTAACCGTAGTAACCGTTAAAGAGAGATCAACATCGTAGGTATAGTAACCGTTAACAGAGATCAACATCGTAGGTATAGTAACCGTAAAGAGATAAACATCGTAGATATAGTAACCGTTAAGAGAGATCAACATCGTAGGTATAGTAACCGTAAAGAGAGATCAACATCGTAGATATAGTAACCGTAAAGAGAGATCAACATCGTAGATATAGTAACCGTAAAGAGAGATCAACATCGTAGATATAGTAACCGTAAAGAGATCAACATCGTAGATATAGTAACCGTAAAGAGAGATCAACATCGTAGATATAGTAACCGTTAAAGATCAACAGAGATCAACAGCGTAGGTATAGTAACCGTAAAGAGAGATCAACATCGTAGATATAGTAACCGTAAAGAGAGATCAACATCGTAG